GTTGGTGAGAGGGGGTGGGGCGTGAAGCGGGGGGGGGGGGTCATCACATGGATCTCTCACCGCGACCCTCGCAGCGCCAGGCAGCGTCGGCTGCAGCCCCACCAATCCGACCACGTCCCTGCCTAACAGGTCCACCGCCGGGCCCAGCGGCCCCGCGGCGGCCGCAGCGACGTCCACCGCCGACTGCAGCGCCGCCGCGGCGTCAGCAAGCGGCAGGGCGGCGCACACGGGCGCCGCGGCTCGGCTGCGGCGGGGGCACGGTGTCCGGCCGCCCTGCGGCTGAGGCCATTGGAGGCGATTCTTAGTGGCTGGGCATAAGCGGTGATGCCGTGCAGCTTGTAGCTGCGATGTGTGCATTGTAAGTCTCACGGCCGCTGGGACCGAGATCGCCGAGATCTTTGAAACAGCCTATTCTACACACCCAACACTACAACACAAGATAAAATTGCGTAAAAGTTGTTTGGGCAGGTGGAATCGGGGGATGCCGATGCCAAGCGTGAACACCTCACCATGTGGTGGTGCGCTGTGTGCGCTGACTTGGCGAGGGAGCGGCGAGACGCGGTTGACCCCCACATCTGAGCGACACGCGCCGACGTGGGGTCGTGAAACCGTAATGAAACAGATCCGGGCACAGGAGAGCGGCGTAGCGCATTGCATTTGCACTGCAGCGCCACGGCGCAGTTTTTGTCAGCGAGTGTGCTTGACCGGTCACCGTGGTTGCTGACACACCCGTTTGGAAGATTCTGTAGGCAGATTACCTAAACCCTGAACCCTAAACCCTGAATCCTTCCAACTTGCGGCGCTTATGTCGGCCGCAGGCAAGAGGTTGAGTGAGTGCGCCGCGCTGGTTCCTTGAAGGGTCTATGGGTGCCCCCTAAATTCTTTGCATTGGGTCTGTGGCCGGCCTAGTTTCATCACCACCCAGCCGTTGGAGAGGCCTAGGATCAATTCACCATGAGTTTTGTGCATGTATGCAATAAATGTCATCATATCTCAGCGCTTGGCCAAGTTTGTTTCCTGCAAACCTCCATCCCATACTGCTGTGGTGATTGGGCGGCCTGCCTCTCCTTTGGACCGTGCCCTTGCATGCATGGAGGACTCAAGTAGGTGTGTTGTAGCTCAAGGGGTTGATGGCCCACAGGGCCAACCGGTGCCTACGGGAAACCCAGGTACACATTATCGGTATTGTTCTGGGTGAGCGAGGCTGCACTGGTACTGCAGTGCTGACCGTTTTGAATGCATTGAGGTTGTAGCGTGTGTGTATTGGCTCCCCTGAACCATCATATCACGCATCTGCAGCACGTCCTGCCAGACCTCGCACCAGCACATGGGCTCAGCCTGGACCAGTGTCTGCTGGGCCGCCCGTGGGTCACCAAGTCACTCAACCATTGGTCTGCTGGGCGCGAGAAACCAGCAGTGATACGCAGAAATGTTCATGACAAGCGTATGATCTGATTACCCGGGCTCAACTACTCGAACCTGCAGATCTACACTCAAATCGCGCGCAAAGCAGCCGCATCCGCCCAGCAATTCTGCGTGGTCCGTCAACGGATCCCTCGCGTCTCATCTTATGCGAATTATCCAACGCGTATTTCAGGCCAGACCCGGTCAGGCGAAGTGCACACGGCGCACCTCGCCGGCCCAAGAGCAGCCCAACTGGCCCAGTGCCATGCCGCTGCCAATCGAGGTCCTGACACTCATCCTGGCGCACACTGATGCAGACGATCGCCACGCGTTGCGCGCCTCGAGCCGCGTCCTGTGCAGCTCTATCGACAAGGCCTGCATAGCACTCACGCTGCCCAGGGTGCACACCTGCAGCCCTGCTGCTGCGGCCCTCGCGCTGCGCCGCGCCGCGGCGCGCTGCCACCGGTGGGGCGGCGTCAGGGCGCTCACTCTCATAGCCCTGGGCGCCGAGTGCATGGGGCCTGCCCTGGCGCTGCTGAACGTCGCAGCCAGGTGGGCATCATGCCGGGCATGGAAACCGCAGCAGCTGGCATGCACGCGCTGCAGCACCTGCCGTAATCATTGCTGCGTGCACCTTGCTGTATGCTTCAGTCTTGCCAGCGGCCTCTTCGAATCCGTCAGCCACCATTTCAAGCACCCCGCCAGGTATCAGTCACCCTTGCGAAGTTATGCCCATGGCGGACCCCCCCAAATATGTGTCCCCTTGCCCCAACCCAGGCACTGCCCAGAGCTGTCCTTCATCACACTGGCGCGCCTGGACCGCGAGCTGTCCCTGGCCCTCACCTCTCACCTGTCCAGCTGCCGCCTGGCGAGCCTGACATCGCTGGCAGTGACAGCCCCCAAACGCGGGCGGCCGCTGCTGCTCACGCCACTGGGCGAGCTCTCCAGCCTCACTGCCCTGACCATCATCGGCCGCGCTGATGGCGCGAGCGCCGCTTGGCTCCCGCCCGGCCTGCGGCGCCTGCAGCTGGGCACGCACGCCACGGAACCGGGGTTTGGGGGCACGTCTTGGCTCGACGCCATTGGCGCGTGCCGCGGCCTGGAGGTGCTCCAGCTGTGCTGGCTTGATGCCCTCGACTTGGGGCAACAACCGGACGACCCCAGCGAGGCGCTTGACTATGCCAAGTTCTACGCCAGCGTCGGCCAGGTGACTAATCAGACCGCAAAAACTAGCGCTGGGTACGGTTGCCCACGGGTGTAAGCCCGGGACGGTGCGCTAGGACACGCACGGCCGACTGGAGGCGGCTGCTGCGACCGACCAGCCGCTGCAGTCTCCTGACCCCCTTCCCCCCCTCGCACGCGCGCTTCCTCGCAGCTCGTGAACCTACGGGAGCTGAGCGGCGTGTTTTGTCAGGTCGCCCTCGCCGGCCACGGCGGCGCGGAAAGCTACGTCATCGACAGCCTCGAGGCCCACCTGCTCCTGCCGCAGTTGACGGCGCTGCAGCGGCTCGTGTTGTACATGTACGTCGCACCCGAAGATCAGCTCACCGAGCTGATCTTCATGCAATGCAAGCCGGCCATTAAAGGGCCCCTGAGCAGCCTGGCAGCGCAGTGCGCGACCCTGGAGGAGCTCGCCTTCGGCGTGTGGCCTGACGCCGACACCGACGCCACGTTGCCATGCTTCCCGCGCCTCGACGGCCTCCACATCACCTTCAAGCAGCGCGCATGCTACCCTCCGTTGCTCCGACAGACATTTCCCGCCGTGACCCAGTTGATTGTGGGCTGTTCCACCAGCTTTGACGCCTCCATCGTGGATTTTGATGTAATTGCGTCAATGCCTTGCTGCACAAGACTCTCCATCGTGTCCACACAGGATTCTGGGCGCTCGAATTTCTTTGGCCGCATAGACGCCCTGTCTGGGTGCAAAACCCTGAGCCATGTGCGCCTGTGCGGCTTATTCTGGGCCCCGTACGCGCAATGCCTAGAGCTTGCAAACACGCCGCAAATCCACATGCTCGAGTTGCACGACTGCACATTTGATGACGAGGTCTCGCCGAACGCGCTCGCGGCGTCCTTGCTCGCTGTCGCGCGTCACCGCGAGGGCTTTGGCGTGGTGGCGGAGCCGGATCCCATCTGCCCTACGCCCTGCCTGCTGCCGCCCGACATTTTGCACGGCTGATCGTTGCTGCCGGGCACGCAACAGCAGGACTACGCGCCAACCAGCCCTACTGCCGCACGTCACTCGTGCCAGCTTGAGCAGATGCCCCTTGTTGTCCGTTTACGTACTACGTACTAGGCATGACATCTGCTGAGCACCCTGTACCTTGGCAGCGTCTAGATTGACTCTTTGCAAGCACCAGCCGCCCTGTTGCAAAAGCGCGACAGTGACCCTTGCACACGATGCTATCACAGTATTGCAGGGCCGGCAACATACAGCGGTGGACAGCAGCTCGACCAGCACGTACACCGTATGCTGGTAGTTGGTCATCACAGCTTGGTCGTCCCCTTAGTGGGCAGGCGTGCCGCATCTGTCAGCGCCCTCAGCTGGCACGCACGGCAACAAATATGGTACATACCCAACTGTAAAGCCCAGCAAGCCCTCTGCGTGCACGAGACAGAAATGCGCGGCAGGCAGCCCTGGCCACCAGCAAAAAATCCCGTTTATGCCTGTGAATTGCAGTCAGCTCCAGCCGACCGTGCGCCCCCCAGAAGGGGGCAGGGAGTCCCGTGGGCGATGTGTTGTCTGGCTTCACCGCGCTTGCAAACACTAGTAACGTGGCTGATGAGCTCTACCCCTGGTGTGTGCGTCCACTAAGCAGCTGATGGTGTGGTCAGACAAAGCGGAGTCAACAGCCACGGATGGGCGATGCTGCCAGATACATTGCAGGTACAGTACACAATTACAATTACAAGCCTCGTTACTGCAGCGATGCACCGCTGCACCTTCAGCACGCGCCTGTTGCAGGCTGTGCATTACGCAGCACTCCATCGCTTGCTGCCGCGAGGCCTTTTTATGCGGTTGTGCAGGCGGACCCTCTGTGATCGGCGCCGCGCCTGCTGCCAGCCAGACTGGCTTTCATCCTCGAAGCCCGCTTTGACCACACCCCGCTTGCTCCTCTGCAAGCAAATGCTTCCTGGGGGACCTCGGCACGGCACAATTGATCGGAGAGACCCTGCTCGAGAAGACCCCATCTCACTTCCCCGCAACCATCGAGCGAGGCTGCCTTCCCTGGACGCCGTGCCGCCTCCCCGCAGCTGGACGCCTTCTGCCTCACGGTCACGCTGCTGGAGCGCGTGGGCGCGTACCGCCTCGATCGAACACCTACTGGGGCCCACCGAGGGCCAGCTGGCGGCGGCAGCGGAGGGAATCCAGCATCAGGGCCTGCGGGCCTTCACAGCAGAATGGATGGAGGGCCCATAGCCCATGGCCAGCGCAGCGGCACGGCGCGGCAGGCGTGCTCGGATGAGGCCGGTAGCAGTGTGCGCCAGAGCACGTCCTTGAAGCGTTGGCGCAGCAAACGGGGTGCACTGTTCTCCCAGCGCGTTGTGCTGCTGGACGGCCGCCGCGCAGCTGGGTCGACACTTGTAACGGGATACTGCGTACCCCGCCACACTGTGTGTGCCAGCCATGACCTGGCGTGACAGGCGCAGCAGTGAGTGCAGGTGGCTGGGCAGGCACCCACGCGGCAGTATGCGCCATGCAGCCGCTGCTGCTTTGACTTTGCCAATTTGCCTGCTGCCCCTCCCGCTCAGCGTCTGCCAATTTCTTGGGCTTTTGTTAGCATATTGCGATGTGTGCGCCTCATTGGTCTCGTCACAACGGGGAATCACACTTTGTGATTGACCCGCGTGATCCCGCAGAGGCCGAGGCGCAGGCTCCTGCTTGTTCAGAAATGAGTTTGTTCTGTTTATATTTGTTGTTGACACGGAGAGCTGCGCAGAGCGGTTGTCGGGTCACCATGACTCCGCCGACGCCTGCGTGGTAGCTGCTGCAGTCCCCGGAAGGGTCCGCCCATCAGCTGGGCCCTGCCCCTGGGAGCTATGCGTCTCCAGCTTCAGGAATCTTCCAGGCATATCACACTTACTGATGAAGCCGGAAGCCCGGCAGGTGGAAGCTCAACTGTCATTGTACGTTTTGGGTTGAGTATAAAGTTGAGAGC